GGGACCTGAAGGTTTTTTTTTTTATCTCACTGTGGCATATTTTTTCTTTTTCTGTATTTATTTATTAAAGATTTCCACCTCCTCCCATCCCCCAATTTCCTTTCCACTCCCCTTACTCCCCATCCCCTTCCCTCTCCAGTCCTAAGAGAAGTCAGGGTGCCTTGCCCTGTGAGAAGTACAAGGCCCTCCCCCTCTATCCAGATCTATGAAGCTGTGCATTGAAACATACTAGGCTCCAAAAAGCCATTCCCTGCAGTAGAATCAAAACCCGGTGTCATTATCATTAGCTTCTCAGTCCACCCTCAGTGTCAGCCACATTCAGAGAGTCCGGTTTGATCACATTCTCATTCAGTTCCCTTCCAGCTGGCCTTGATGAGCTCCCATTAGATCAGTCACACCGTCTTTGTGGGTGGAAGCACCCCTTGCAGTCCTGACTTCCTTGCTCATGTTCTCCCTGCTTCTGCTCTTCATCTGGACCTTGGGAGCTCAGTCCAAAGCTCCAATGTGAGTCTCTGTCTCTATCTCCATCCATCGCCAGAAGAAGGTTCTATGGTGATATGAAAGATATTTATCTGTGTGGCTATGGGAGAAGGCCAGTTCAGGCACCCTAACCTCTGCTGCCCAAGGCCTAGCTGGGGAAATACCCTTGGACACCTGGGACCCCCTCAAGAGCCAAGTCTCTTGCCAACCCTAAAATGGCTCACTTAGTTAAGGTATCTTCTTCCCTGCTCCCATATCGACCCTTCTTCCATCTCAACCATCCCATTCCTCTAAGCTCTCCCCAATCCTCCTCTTCTCCATTTTCTCTCCCCGTATCCCCTTCTACCCCACAGCCCCACCCCCGTGCTCCCAACTTTTGCCCAGTGATCTTGTCTACTTCTAATATCCAGGAGGATAAATATATGTTTTTTTCTTATACTTATTACTTATATATAAGCTACTTATTTAGTTTCTCTAGGATCACGAATTTTAGTAGTGGCTGTCTTTGAGGTTGAGGTGTGTTTCTTGTAAACAGCAGAATGTTGGATCCTGTTTTCTTATCCATTCTCTTAACCTGTGCCTTTTCATAGGTGAATTGAATCCATTGATATTAAGTGACATTAATGACCAGTGGTTGTTAACTTCAGTTATTTTTTCTGGTGGTAGTATTTGTGTGTTTCCCTTCTTTGAGTTGTGCTGGTGGGGGGTTGTCAGATGCTTGTGTCATTATGGGAGTTGTTGGCTTCCTTGGTTTGTGATTTTCCTTCTAGTATTTTCTGTAAGGCTGGATTTGTGGCTATGTATTGTTTAAACCTGTTTTTGTCCTTGAATGTCTTGTTTTCTCCATTGATGGTAAATGCAAGCTTTGCTGGGTATAGTAGTTTGGACTTGCATCCATGGTCTCTTAGTGTCTGCAGCACATCTATCCAAGACCTTCTGGCTTTCATGGTTTCCATTGAGAAATCAGGTGTAATTCTTATAGGTTTCCCTTTATATGTTCCTTGCCCTTTTTCCCTTGCAGCTCTTAATATTTGTTCTTTATTCTTTATGTTTTGTGTTTTGATTATTATATGGCATGGGGATGCTTTCTTTTGATCCAGTCTATTTGGTGTTCTGTATGCTTCTTGTACCTCAGGGAACCCTGATTGCTCTTTAGGCTGACAAGGGAGGGGGACTTGATTGGGGGACGGGGAAGGAAAGGGGAGGCGGCGATTGGGAAGAGACAGAAATCTTTAATAAATAAATACATTTAAAAAAAGGAATATCCTTCTTCAGTTTGGAAACGTTTTCTTCTATAGTTTCATTGACTATATTTTCTGGGCCTCTGAGAAGCAATTCTTCTCTTTCTTTTACCCCTATTATTCTTGGGTTTGGTCTTTTCATATTGTCCCAGATTTCCCAGATGTTTTGTTTTAAGGTTTTATTGGATTTGTTGTGTTCTTTAATCAATTTCTTCTATAGTATCTTTAGTGTCTGAGATTCTTTCTTCTAGCACTTATATTCTGTTGGTTATACTTCTCTCTGTAGTTCCTGTTCATTTACCCAGATTTTCCATATCCAGCCTTCCCTCAGTTTGTGCTTTATTCATTGCCTCCATTTAATTTTTCCTGGAATAAGGTGTTCAAGTCTTCTTGTTGCATGATCCCTGACCTCTGGTGATGTCATGTTGCCTTTCAAGTTGTTGGAGAAGTTGCATTGGTGCCTGCCCATCTCTTCCTTCCAATGCAGCCAGGATAGTCTCGGTGTCTTGGTCCAATCTTTGCTGTGACTGACTCTCTGGATGGATCTCCTCAATGCAGGAGCAGGGACTGTTCCTGGGCCAAGGACCTCACAGACAATATGGCAGGCTTGGGGGAGGCAGGGTCATGTGGAACAAAGAAACCCCTGAAGTAGTGGTGGAGGGGCCCTGTGCTCCTTCCTGGGCCATCCATCCCACCCAAGGATGGCACCCACTCACTGGTCTGGAAGGTTATCCTCAGCACAGGGACACGGATTCCTGGAACTCCAAGGACCCCACAGACAAAAGGGCAAACTTCAGGGAAGGGGAGGGTTGTGTGTAACAAAGAAGCCCCTGCAACAGGAGCTGAAGGTGCCCTGCACTCCCTCTGGACCTGAAGTTTTATGTGGGAGCCTTGAGTCTGGGATTTCATTCCTATGTCTGTTCCTAACTGCCAAGACAGTCACTATATTTTCATATAGATCCTATGAATTTTCTTCCTTATTTGCACAATAAGGAAGTAGTACCTCAGCCTTGTAACCCCATTCTATCCCAGTGTACCTCTAAATTTTTAAGAAAAATAATTGTATCTTCTTCAGAAGAAGCCTATGTTCCTAGAAATTTGAAACAAACAACTTACTCTGGTGACAGAGGTGTCTCAAACAACTTCACTCCTCTATAAAATAGCAAGTTTGTCTTGTTCTTTGTTCAATATTGATGCTTCATGAACAAAGTATATGTTCAGTAAATATTTGTTATAAATTCAAGGCAGTAAAGAGAACTAGTGTCATACTTAATTATTCAGTTGTGAATGGGATTTGAAACTATGGTAAACGTTTTATAAACTTAGAACCATTCTGAATTACATGCTGAATGAATGCTGTTCAGAGGATTTTCATAAATTAGTTTTTTCGATATGGGTGAAAAATAATACTTGCATGTTGAAATGGACTTTCTAGAATAAATATAAAGTTAAAATGGTGATGAAAACATCCTACTCTCAAGACACAAAATAGTTTGATGAGGCTGATACTGTTAAATAGACATCAAGTGACATTTATGCATTACATATTAATATTCACACCTGCATAAAACCTATACAGAGAGGTGCATGTTTGTCCATACATAAGATGTAGTGATAAACAACCATACCAAATGCTTCTTTGGGTTTCTAGTATTTTCATATCCCTACATTTTAAAACTTCGAAGCTTTAGATTTGTCCCTAGATCATAAATGTATCTGTTGCTTATATTTATATTGTTTTCTTGATTAAAATTTTATGTCTCCCTAGGTTTCTGTGAATCAAAAGTGCCCCAGAAAGTTTTTTTCTCATATTGAGACTCCAGGGAAGTTTGGAATGTAAAGATCCTGAGAAGGAAACCTGGAAAGCAGCATTTGTGAACTCAGGCAGAGGTTGAGAACAAACCAAGAGATATCACTGAGTTCTTAAAGGCAGCAGCCTTCAAGTAAGTTCAAAGAGCATCATCTTGGTTTCTTTTGTTTTGCTAAATAATTGAAAAGCTTTATTTTAACCATACTGTCATTAGCTTAATGTCAGAGCCTAACAAGCTCTGACACATGATATAATAACACCAACGTCTAAGTATAGTAATTTGCATTGGCTTTTTCAGTAGAAATCAGCAAACCAATGTATACTGAAGCTATAAAGTAGCTCAGAGTTGAATATAATAAAGGATTTTTTATTTAGGTATATTTTCACAGATCACAGTCCTCTGCGCAAACAGGGAACAGGAACCAAATTCAGCAGCAGCAGCAGCAGCAGCAGCAGAGAGAGAGAGAGAGAGAGAGAGAGAGAGAGAGAGAGAGAGAGAGAGAGATTTATGGCTGTATTTATAGTATAAGAGACCAAGCCCAAGTGGGCCGGTATCTTAAAGACTATTGACTGAAGGAGTTCCCACAGCAAACCAAACCTTCTCTTGTTGCATTATTTTGACGATCAGTCAGAATAAAAAACTTCCTAGAAAATTTTATAATATTCAAGGTATTAGATAAATTGTTCCTATTCAAGTGGTTATGTGTTCATATATGTGATTGCAGTGAATATGTACATATGGTTATGTATGTACATGTATGTGTGCAGGTACAGGTGCACATATACAGATGTACATATTATATATGCATACAAGTCAATACTGAATGTCTTCCTATAGAATGCTCTAACTTAGGTTTTATAATGGAGTTTTTTCAACAATTTGTCAGTTGTTCATTTGGTTAGAGTACCAGGTTGGCACACTATAGTGATCTTGCTCTCTGGGTCCTCCCAGTATTTGGGTTATGTAGAGAAGTCCAGCTTTTCACTTGATTGCCAAAAATCCAAACTGATGTCCTCAATCATAAGAGTCAAACCTGTTATCTACTAAACCACCTCCACAGCTGTGCTGAACAGTTTAATATCAACTTGACACAGGCTAGGGACATTTGGAAAGGGAGACTATTAATTGAGAAAATGTCCCAAAAGACATGGTCTTTTCTGTGGTACATTTTCTTCATTGAAGATTAATGTGGAAGGGCCTGGCTCATTGTGGGTGTAACACACCTGGGCGGGCAGTCCTGGGTTGTCTAAGAAAGCAGGCAGTGCAAGCCATGAGGAACAAAGCAGGGAACAATATTTGTGAGTTAAAATAAAACCTTTCCACTTAAGTTGATTTTTGTCCTAATATTTCATCACAACAATGGTAATCATGAATAAGAGACCTATGATGGCTTTTTTTCATTTTTAGAATGATTCATTATAGTTCAGTAAATAATTTAATTAACAATTATTTGCTTTTTTTGAAAAAGCAGCAGTAAGACATTTAAAACATAAACATCCGGAAGCCATCAAAAGAACATGGGAGAACCTGGGAAAAGTATTGCAACCCATGGGGTGACATGCTTTTCAAAAATGAAGGTATGAATTATTTGGATATATGTGTATGTATATAGCCATGACAGTCATTCAAAGTAAACATTGAAAATTCTTATAACATTGTTCAGTTTATATGAAATTTTAAACATTAAAAACTATTTTGCTTAATGTGTTCTTAATTTATTGCCTTAAAGAAGTTGACTTATTTAATATGGTTGTCTAACTAAAATTATTTAACTAAAAAGATTTTTCAAACTAACTTTGAGGACAAATTCTCAACCTATGATTTCACTTCCCTTGGGGAGTTGAAGACCATTTCAGAGGGGTCACCTAGGATCATTGGAAAGCACACTTATTTACTTTCCAATTCATAACAGTAGGAAAATTAGAGCTATGAAGTATCAAATAAAATAATTTCATGGTTGGGCCAACAGAACATGAGGAACTGTGTTAAAGGGTGCATCATTAGGAAGGTTGAGAATCACTATTTTAGGGGTGTGAAGGCATAAGTCACAAAACATTCTCACACCAGTTTGGAATTATAATTAATAAAAGTGTTATTTATTTAAGTGGAAAACTTATAGATCACTGTCTTAGAGAACAGTCCTCTTCATGACAGGAATGGAGTCTAGCAGCCAGAAGCAGAGACAAAAGCAAGAGAGAGAGTGCACAGCTACCACTGATTTTTAAAGCAAAAGAGTCCATGCCCAAGTGGGCTGGTATCTTAAAGGCTATTGGCTGAAGGAGTAGAATTAGCTCCCTCAGCAAGGGGTCTTAAAGGAGCATGAGGTTTAAAATGTTTTATATGTGTATTATACCGTGCTGGAACTTGGCCTGAGGTCAAAGGTCCAGCCAGTGCTCCCTTCTCAGGGGTTTTTGACAAAATATCAAGGGTCAGAGCTAAGAAGTAGTTCCTGAGTAGAAGTGGTCTGTTGATTAATATTCAGAAGTGAGTTTATGATCTAGTTAGATGAATATAGTCTATGAGTTTTGACAATATTGCAAATATTTTGTAAGAAACCTATACATTCTCTTTACTGTTTGTGTGGTTTTCAGTAGTTTTGAGATAGTTGTCCATCTCACAGTTCTAAAGACATTTTTGTGTGATCACCAAATGTGAACGTGCATTAACTCAGGGAATCTGAGCACTTCCCCAGTCTCTGCAGAGTCCCTCCCAGGCTCCTCTCTAAGCTGCTGCATCCTGAGTCATCCAATCACAAGCTCATTTACCTTATTCACCTGCAGTCGACTCCATACAATAATATAAATGAGAGGAGGCCTCAGACTCAGCCATGGGAAGTGTTTTTACCTGCAGTGATGTGTGAATTATTGAAACCCAACCCCTCATGTTATCCTTCAGTTCTCACATTCTGAAGAGCCCAGGGCCCCTTGACCTGAACCTTTGAAAGATGTTTACTCAATGTGTCACTTTGGAAAATTTGTGCAATGTGTCTGTACTTCATCTGAAAAGGATAGTGGTAGTCCTACATTTTAAGACAAAACCATCATTCTGAAACTTCTGTGTATGTGTATCTCTCTGTGTGTCTGTCTCTGTATATATGTGAGTGTTCACCATTCGGTGCCATCCTATTCAAGTAGTATGAGGAATTAGACCCAGATGTTCAACACAATGGGCAATTCCTCTGTCCCTGACCTATGCCTCCCTCTCCACTGTTAAATATGTTAATTACTTTCAATTTATGGTTTTTATGTTTATGGTTGGTTTGCCCCCATGTATGTTGGTGTACCACTTGTGTGTCTGGTCTCCCTGGAGGAAAAAAGAAGTTGTTGAGTTCCCTGGAACTGATGATACAGGTAGTTTTAAAACACAATATGTGTGCTAAGAATTGAACCCAGGTCCTCAGAAAGAGCAGCCAGTGGTCTTAACTGCTGAGCCACATCTCCATCTTCAAAGCTAAGGGTAATGATGGGTATTCTGATTATCAGTTGCTAACATTAGTAGCATTTATAGAGAAATATCATCAGGTATCATAAACATTTCCCAACACTCATTTTGATTATTGTTACTATTGCTGTGAAGAGACACTATAACTACTGTAACTCCTATAAAGGAAAACATTTATTTGGGGCTGGGTTACAACTTCTGAGACTTAGTCCATAACTATCATGGTGGGAAGCATGGGAGCCCAAGGAAGATACAGTTCTCAAGAAGGATCCAAAAGTTCTACACCCAGATCAACAGGCAACAGGAATAAAGTGGTACTGGGCCCACTTGAAGCTTCTGAAACTTCAGAGCCAGCCATTGACACTTCCTCCAACAAGGCCAGAGCTCCTAATGCCACTACATGGTTGCAGGAATTCAAATCTACGAGCTTACAGGGCCATTCCCAATCAAGTCACCACTGTTACTTTGGAGTTCAACAAAGTAGACACTGGTATGGAGGTCATGGGAAGATGTTAAAACCATGAGTTTACAAGTCAATTTTTTTTTATTGAGAAAAGGAAAAAAAAGTTTCCGCCTCCTCCCAGCCTCCCATTTCCCTCCCCCTCCTCCCACGCTTCTCCCCCTCCCCCCACTCCTCTCCCCCTCCCTCTCCAGTCCAAAGAGCAGTCAGGGTTCCCTGCCCTGTGGAAAGTCCAAGGTCCTCCCCCCTCCATCCATGTCTAGAAAGATTAACATCCAAACTGGCTAGGCTCCGACCAAGCCAGAACATAAAGTAGGATCAAAACCCCTTGCCATTGTCCTTGGCTTCCCATCAGCCCTCATTGTTCGCCATAACCAGAGAGTCCGGTATTATCCCATGCTTTTTCAGTCACAGTCCAGCTGGCCTTGGTGAGCTCCCAATAGATCAGCCCCCCTGTCTCAGTGGGTGGGTGCACCCCTCATGGTCCTGACTTCCTTGCTCGTGTTCTCCCTCCATCTGTTCCTCATTGGGACCTTGGGAGCTCAGTCCAGTGCTCCAGTGTGGGTCTCTGTTTCTATCTCCATCCATCACCAGATGAAGGTTCTATGGTGATATGCAAGATATTCGTCAATATTGCTATAGGATAGGGTCATTTCAGGTTCCCTATTCTCAGCTTCCCAAGGGACTAACTGGGGACATTGCCTTGGGCTCCTGGGAGCCACTCTAGGTTCAAGTCTCTTGCCAACCCTAAGGAGGCTCCCTTAACTAAGATATGTGCTTCCCTGCTCCCATATCCAACCTCCCTTTATTCCAATCCTGTTTCCCCAAGTTCCCCCAATCCTCCCC